AACATTTTCTTCAGATTTAAAATGTATGCTTAATCCTGAACCATGATAAAAACCTTTTCCTAAATAGACAAACTTTGCAAATTCTTAGGGTTCAGATCAGGTGAAGAAAATATTTACTAAGAGCTTTCTTACATAAATTAATGTCTGTTGCATGCAAAGGAGTAATATAAAGCTCAACACTTCATGAACTTACATTGCTCCAGGGTGAGACTAAATCAACATTACAATCAATCAATCAATCGATCTATCTTTCCTTAGGTTGGCACTTAAGGATCAGAGTCTAATAGCCAACCCCCTACTCACGTACTCTGCAACAAAGTCTACCAGTCAGTCAATATCTCCTGCCTCCATTATCAGATACTTCAGTTAGGATTTCTACTATAGGGTAAGATTGAGCATGTAAAGCAGAAAAAACTGGCAACCTAATTCTCAAACACTGATGAAATTACAAATAGAGGCATAAACAAATTTACACGTGACAAAGGCAACTACTGGAATAACCAAAAATAACATAACTCTGAAACACTGAAGAAATAGGCTGTGGATGTGACATAACTATTTATCTTTTGTATTGGAAAATCAATAGATATTATCTAATGTTGGAAAATCAAGCAACAGAGCTTCATGTTATACAGAGAGAGACATCAAAGCAATTAGAAATTATTAGAAAGCTCAGTTGAGAAATAGGAGAGTAGAAAAGGGTAAAGCAGATGAACATTGATTTCCATTGCTTTAAATTGCAAGCATCTCGGTATTATTTCCTTAGTTATCATATGCACATTTTACTTTGCTTAAAAAATGCAAGATTTCTCTTAAGAGTAGTTTATATTTATGAATAACAAACATTTCTAGCTCTATTGCACATGCTTTACATGCTAATTTTGACTTTTGAGGTATTAATTTAGTAAATCTGAATGTCAGTCAGTTACTGTATATGATCATCATGAGGGAAAACAAATGGATATATGAAAATCTGATAAAGAAACTAAAATATTAAGTTCTTAGTTTATGACAGTAATAGCCATATGACTAAATGTTTTAAATAAGTTATTTAATATAATTCCCCCAACAACTTTGCAAATTACACAATATTATCTCATGCTTAGATGTACAAAATAAACAAGGTCTCACAGTTGACTCAGGCTTTTTCCTTGTTTTTAAATCATTGTTTAGAGTTAAAAGTACCTAGTTCTAAAATTTGGATTTTCCTTTCCTCTCTAGTATACAAGAAATTATCCAGTATTATCATGTTTTAAACAGGGATGTATCAATTTTTTTTGTCTAATAGCTTAAAACATGCATTGAATAACTTTAAATTGATTTTTATATCTTAGTATTATGGCTAAAAATCTAGTGACATCCAACTTTGTTGTTGTTTCGTTGCTCAGTTGTGTCCAACTCTGCAACAGAGAAGCAGCACACCAGGCTTCTCTGTCCCTCATTATCTCTTGGAGTTTGCTCAAACTCATGTCCACTGAATCAGAATATTATCTGCCATCTTGTCCTCAGCCATCCATTTCTCTCCCTACCCTGAATCCTACCTAGCATCAGAGTCTTTTATAGTGAGTTGTCTCCTGAATGAGGTAGCCAAAGTATTGGAGCTTCAACTTCAGGATCAGTCCTTCCAATGAATATTCAGGGTTGATCTCCTTTAGGATTGACTGGTTTGATCTTGCTGTCCAAGGGACTCTCAAGAGGCTTCTCCAGAACAACAAATCAAAAACACCAATTTTTTGAAGCTGAGACTTCTTTATGGTCCAATTCTCACATCCATACATGACTACTAGAAAAATCATAGCTTTGACTGTATGGGTCTTTGAGTGCAAAGTGATGCCTCTGTTTTTTAATGTTGTTTAGGTTTGTTATAGCTTTTCTTCCAAGGAGCAAGTGTATTTTAATTTCATGACTGCAGTCACCATCCTCAGTGATTTTGGAGCCCATGAAAATAAAATCTTCACTGTTTCCACTTTTCCTGCATTCACTATAAAGTGATGGGATTGAATAACATGATCTTAGTTTTTTGAAAGTTGAATTTTAAGCCAGCTTTCTCAATCTCCTCTTTCACTTTCAAGAGGCTCTTTAGTTTTTCTTTGCTTTCTGTCATTAGAATAGTAACATCTGCATATGTGAGGTTGTTATTTTTCTCCTGGCAATCTTGATTCCAGCTTGTGAGTCATCCAGATCATCATTTCGCATGATGTACTCTGCATCTAAGTTAAATAAGCAAGGTGACAATATGCATCCTTAACAGACTCCTTTCCCAATTTTTAGCCAGTCTGTTTTTCCATGTTTGGTGCTAACTGTTGCTTTTTATCCTGCATACAGGTTTCTCAGGAGACAGGTGTGGGGTGTGGGGTGTGGTATTCCCATCTCTTCAAGAATATCCAGTTTGTTGTGATCCACAGAGTCAAAGGTTTTAGCAAGTCAATGAAAAAGATGTAGGCTTTTTTTTTTATTCTCTTGCTTTTTCTATGATAAGTGGATGCTGTTATCCAACTTAAATGATGGTAAAAATTATTCTCTCTTAAGTACTTTTAAAATACTCAACTCCTGTGGTATTTTCAGAAATGAGTGAATGTGTATTCATATAAAATATCAGTTACAGTTAATTAATATTAAAATGACAAAAAAGGTTAGTTCATCCAAAACATAACATACAATGCAAAGTGCAATGAATGATTTCCAATGCTATGCATGTTTTTGGAACACTGTTAAAAATCACAAGTATTAATATGCCAGTATTTGTTGGGAAGTTTACTAGGTATGATTTACTATGTGTTGTGATTAATAACTGAATCTTCACAATAACCTATTGAATTAACAACTGTTATCTGGCTTTCAAGAGTTAAAAATCAAGGCTCAGCTTGCCTCAGGTTATACATAGAGTAAGAGAACACCAAGTCAGATCTGTTCTTACCTCCAAATTGTCTGTAATATGACTGTTCAATCAATTATACAAAATACACTTAATTAGGATATAATTGACCAATGAAGCATTGGAAATGTTGAAAATAAATAGGATTATCTTAGGTGAGCATATTCTTTGTGAATGGTATATATTTTGGTACTCCAGCCTTTCCCATCTAAGTCACTGAAATACACCTATTTAATCATTTATTCCAGTGATTAACACTTAGTTTTTTGATCAAGAGTTTTCTGTGTCCTTTTGAGTTTTCTCCATCAAATTTTTGGTTTTTTCATGTCTGATGCCACAGATTTTCCATGGTTTCTTAATGATTACTGACAGTAAGTTTTGAAAAGTGCTTTTCTAAGTTTAGTATGCTTTTCTGCCTATAAACTGATTTCCCTTTTGTACGACTATAAATTATAAGATAATAAATCACTCGTTCTCTTCATTTTCCATAAAATTTCATGTCATCTATTTTTTTTTCCTCTTTGGCAGGATTAAATACAAAGTAATTGCTTCCCTTTTTTTCCCTTTATCTTGAAATAGATGAAATCATTACCTCAAGTCAGTTCGGTCAGTTCAGTCATGTCTGAATCTTTGTGACCACATGGACTGCAGCACACCAGGATTCCCTGTCCTTCACCAACTCCCAGAGCTTGCTCAAACTCATGTCCATCGTGTCGGTGATGTCATCCAACAATCTCATCCTTTGTCATACCCTTCTCCTCCTGCCTTCAATCTTTTGCAGCATCAGGGTCTTTTCCAAGGAGTCAGTTCTTCACATGAGGTGGCCAAAGTATTGGAGTTTCAGCTTCAGCATCAGTCCTTCCAATGAATATTCAGGACTGATTTCCCTTAGGATTGACTGGTTTGATCTCACTGCAGTTCAAGGGACTCTAAAGAGTCTTCTCCAACACCACAGTTCTAAAGCATCAATGGCTATTTAATAGATATCTACCTTTTCTTAATTTCTTACAACATTTTGAAATAAGGATTTCAAGCATTCTTCTTTTAGATATGAGAGACAACAATCTCACAAGCAGCTCAGTGGTTAATAGCAACCCCCGCCAATGCAGGAATGCAGGAGACACAGGTTGATCCTTGGGTGGGGAAGATGCCCAGGAGGAGGAAACGGCAACCCACTCCAGTATTCTTGCCTGGGAAATCCCATAGACAGAGGAGGCTGGCGGGCTACAGTCCGTGGGGTCACAAAGAGTCAGACATGACTGAGTGAACACAAAGAACAAGCTTAGAGAGGTTAAATGACTTGTGTTAGTTAGAAATCACACATGTATAATTCTCATAGGTGAATACATTAAATGACTAAGAAAAACAACCATGTGCATTAGACACCAAAAATCCAAACTTTTAATCAACAGATCAGAGTTGCTGGTTTTTCTTGTTCCACCGAAATCACGGTAGTAAATATACTTTATTTTATAAAATCCTCCAGCTATTTATCCAGAAATATATATTCATGAATTTCTGAACCATTATCATTAACACTTGTTTCACTGTTAATTGCGGACTCCCACAGTTTCCCTTCTTTTGTCCCCTAGATCATCTCTTCAAAATCATTAGAAAAAGCTGCTTATTTACTGTGGTAAACTGCTTAGCAAACTCGCTATCCCCAAATGAGGATGATATTTCTGTTTCAGGTGCCTCTTTTAACTGTTTTAATCTTAAAAATATTTAGTCTCTTTTTGAATATATTTTTCCCTAAGCCTTTTTCCAAGATATGTGATATTTTCCTGGCCATGATCATTGTCAGATCCTTCAGCACTCTGAATTGATGCACTGGTCTTGTACTAACTACAGCTGTAGCAGATCTGACAACTTTCATCTGATATTATGTTACTGAAACTAATTTTAGGTATTTCTCCATCTTTTTGCACACTTGGGTCTTCCTTGTGCTTTTGGAGCTGCCTCAGTAGCTCTGACTTGGTCACTCCTTTTAAACAACTTAGTTCTTAGGAGAAATGTATATATCTCTATATCCTTGGTTCAAATTTATCACTGATTATTGATAATATTCTAGCTACTGCATTTATCTACTTTTGTTGAAATAACAGTTTCAATGTGTTTCTTCCTATTACTCAGTCAATATTTCCTGAGAACTTGAAGTTTTAGGAACTCCTTTAAATCCTGAGGATAAAAAAATGAACAAAATATCCCTGCTTTCAGAGAGCTGGCTCACCATAACATGCCCATTGCTTTAGAGACACCTGGAAATATAAGCAGTTTTCCAAAATCATTTCTTTATAGAAACCAGTTAAAAAATCCTTGAAAGAATCTGCATTGCCTACACCACACTTGTAGATCATGTGTTAAATGGTTGATTTGTTAAAAAAACAGAAGTAGCTTTAATTGATTCTTTCTAATTATAAAAACTCAGCCAAAAGGTATTTTCTTACCATGACAACTTGGTAAGACTCTATTCCATCCAGGTCTTCCATCATCTCCCATGATACAGGTGAGTGTTGAATATCCTTGAAGAATGTAACCAGCATCACAGTAATAGGTTACTGTTGACCCTAATTTATAATCCATTCCCAGTCTGGTGCCATTCATTATGTTGCCTGGATCAAAGCAGGACTCTCGGAGTTTTGCTGTAAGGTAATGTTGATATAAAATGAATTATTTTAAACTAGCACATTCTAGGAAACTTTCAGTATATCTTCATCTCTGCCTCTTGCCAAACAGAAAGCACCAACACCCTTTCTGCCTATGTTTAAGAGCTAAAAGTATAAGTAGCCCTTAACCACATCTGATGTTTTGCTGATTAATATGGGTTAGAAAAAGACAAAGTTCTTCATTGGTCTTCTCATTAAAATTAGTATCTAACATATATAGTCAAACACAGGGTTTCAGAGTTTATTATAAATTATGTGTTATCATCCATGCATAAGTACTTTAAATGAATTATTTTGGAAAAGAAGAACTTGTTTATTTAATATTTCATTATTTAAAAGATCTTCTCCCAAATAAAGTACACTGCATATCATGTGGCTGAACTTAGATATAGTACTGCTGCCTATGCTGATTTCAGTTAATCACTAGGAGGAAACTAAAAGATCCTATGTCTCCACCCTGAAGCCATTCCTCTTAACATACCTCCTCTACTCATTTCCCACATATCTGACAGAAGTCTGCACATTAAAAATAGTAACAAAATCTTTCTAATATCCAAACCATGATCTTTTTGGACACAGTCTATATCAAAGCCAAGAACTTTAGAAGGTAATAGTAATAGATAAATTAAAAAGTAAATTCCATTCACAACAAAGAACTGTTTTCTATGGAACCAGATAGTAAACTAGAGAGATTGAGAGAATATTTTGAATATATGAGAGAAATATATTAGTTCATCCATTTTGACAAATAAGTGGTAGAATACTTTTGTTATAGCAGGTCTGGGTAACATGTGAATATTTACATTTTATTATTATTACAGATAAATAGAGATGTACAATGTAAGGGCTGTCACAAATTCAAGATAACAAATGAGATTTGTTACATTAGAATTTATCTTATGTTAATGGGAATTCAGGAGATGGGTGTATCTTTGGATATGACTCATAAAATCTTTGTAATTTAAGTCAAGAGTATCTTGGTGTTTGGCTATTTCAGTAATTATATTATCATAATAAATTAATCAAAATGTGATTAATTTTAATAGAAAAAATATTTTTATTCCATTTGCTAAAGTCTGCAGAGTTAAAAGTGCTTCAACACTTACAGGAAATGATTAGAAATTTATGCTTTAGGAAACATACTTCACAAGACTTCTCTGAATTCAACTAAAGAGGAAATGGTGGAAACAAATAAATGATTTTTATAGAATACCAAATGGAAAATTCCCACTTCCTTTTCTTCCTTCCTTCTTTCCAGAAACTACTTAAGAGCCCATTATCCAAGTAACACTGGAAATACAGCCATGGTGATTAAAAAAAAAAAAAATTCTAACCTTCATGGCTTTTACAGTCTATCAAGAAAATAATTACATTAAGTAAACACTTGCGGTTGTGATGTGTGTTGTATAAGGAGCAGCATTCAGAATCTTCCTGAAGAACTGACATCTAAACTGAGCATTGAGGGGTAATGGGCAGACTAGGTGAAAGGGGGATGAGAGACATGAAGGGGAGAAGTTATAGTGGAGCTTGTAAGTCAGATAAACCTGATTTCTGAGCATCAATCCAAAACTAAATAACTTGATCTTTCAAAGATATGTACATGTGCGCATACACATACAGTGTAAGAAATTCGTTTCCCATATAACATAAGGAAAAGAACCAGTAGATTCTTTGGTCACTAAGAAAGACACTTTAGTGGTACAGAGGTTGGTTTGTTTAATTTTTCAGAGAAAAACATTAATCTTTTCCTTAAATAAGCAGAAAATGCAATGTAATTGTTAGGCGTATAACAGCAACCTACCATTTCTGTTCTTCATGAAATTGAACTAAATCCCTTGAGGGAAAAGGAAGGGTTGAAATTACTATTTAGAAGGATTAATCTCTCTGACATGTCTAACTGTCTAACATCCATCTTTTGAAAAGGTAGCTTTTTCCTTCTTTAAAGTTTTCCCCAAATTTTCAGTGACATATTAGTGAATCTATAATGCAAACCTACTTTTTGAGTAAAGGGAAACATGGTTGATAAATTAAAAACACTGCCTCTACAACAATTTTATATTGCTAGGTTCATTTTGAGAGGATTCACTTATCTCTTTATTATGTTTACATACTGCTTTAAATTCTTAGTGAATAGCTTTCTATGAATAATACTGCACTTATTTATTTCCCTGTTTGCCATAGCAATTGCATCTGGAAATTTTGAGAACATAGGGAGAATCCTTACATAAAGGTCCAGGGAACAGGTGGAAAAATGATTTTAATTTTTGAAAAAAAAATGTGAGGCAGACAAGTTGATAGTATTTTAATGAATGATTAATTTAATAAAATAATTCATTTGTATAAATAATAACAACTTGCCTACTGAATAGATCCCAGGTAAGAGTCCCTTGCCTTATATTCTCTAAGTAAAGCATGTTAGAAGCAGAATGCTGGAAGACAGACGTAATCGTAAGCAACAGAGCCTGTATCTTAGCAATGGACTCTTTTTTCACTCTTACAAAAAATTTACTTCAGGATTATTTCCAGGTGAAATTAAAGAATTTTAAATGCTTATTTTAATGAAAAATTTTGACATTACAAAGTTGAAATATGTGTCCTTAAGAAGAGTCAAGATGAAAAATTAAAGCTTTACTATGCTTCTGTTTTCATTTTATTAAGAAAGACATATAGATGAAATCATAATAACCACAATATCTATATCATTATAAAGCATTTATCATGCATGACATCATGATACTTTATATCATTATAAAGTATTTGCGTCAGGCATGACAGTAACTAAATAATGTTTGTTCAATTCATACTTAATGACTTGTTTATAAATACATTGTTTTTCTGGGCTAATAAGAACCATAATATTTTTGTTGTTAAAGGTTATTCTTTAACAAACTTCAAAGTTTATTCCTACATACAGGTATATACTCATGAAAGGACCATTATTAAGAATAGTGTTCTGTAGATAATTAGTTATATGTTATTTTTATTTTTGAGAAGTCACCAGAGTATATAATATTCAGCTGCTTTTTATTTCCAGAATAGTGCAGTTGGGCATACACCTGCTGGCATGAACTCAGAAACTAAGAGCTAAACTCCCTTTAAGCTGTGAACGCACTGTAGTCCCCTCAGATCGTAGTAACTCCCAAAAGGCGCTCTCTTTTGGAAGACCCGTAGTTCACATAGGGTCAGATTCCCCATGTGCTCTTTGAGATTAAATATAAACCACAGACATATCTCTTTTATTTTGGAAAATACTGTTGATTAAACAATTGGAAATTAACAATTGCTGTAAAATACCTCAAAGTAAAGCTGAAATGTAATAGGTTGCTCTATTAAAAGATATGTCTTACCTTAAATTTGTATATTAATTTAGAAAGCAATTGACTACATTTTAAGGTTCTTGAAGCAGGTGGCTAACTTACAGCATATATAAACAACCATTCATAAATCTTTCACTGTAGATTTTTGGTGCCTATCAGATAGAACAGCAGCTGCCAGGAGGTCCCCTTCAGAAGCACAAAACTGTATCTATACTCTCTCCTTCATGTAAATAGTATATTTTGTTTAAATAATATAACCATCACTCCTATGAGTTACACCTATTAAAAATTATAGTTATAAATATTTAAAATATACTTATTAACATAATTAAAAGTAGCCTTAATACAAAACAATGCAAAAGATAGCATTAAGCTAAAATGTTTATCAAGCATGCATTTAATATTGTATCTCACTGAAGTTACATTAAGATAAATGGAGACTGTGCTGTGCTTAGTTACTCAATCGTGTCCAACTCTTTGCCACCCCGTGAACTGCAGCCTGCTAGGCTCCTCTGTCCATGGGGACTCCAGGGAAGACTACTGGAGACTAGATTGATTTAAACTCTTTGGGGACATTGCTTTCAAGTTAATAAAACATCTCCCCTTACCTTCAAATATCTATTTCTTCATTTCAGTCTACTACTGTCTACAACACTAGAGCATATCTACCATTTGAATTTTTTAAAATTTTAATTGGAGGCTAATGACTTTACAATACTGTGGTGGTTTTTGCCATAAAACATTCGCTTTTTGTAAATAAAAGTAGTATTCCTTTCAGAATCCCTGTTATTAGCAGGCTGTGTATTTGCGATGTTTGACTATAGTATTTGTTCACCGCTCAAATGCTTTGTTTGCAGAACTCCTATGTATTTGCAAATAAACAAAAATAAGGTTCAGTGTCTATCTTCAAGAGGGAAATGAAGAGATCAGTATGAACACAAGCAATAGCAACTGTACTCTGGTGTGAGCTCTACAGAAGTAGGTGCTGAACCTATAGCTTTTTAAATAAAGAGCTATAAATACCAGTATTTGGAGTGAGTTGGGACTTAAAAACTTCACTTTTTCAGAGCTAATAGAAATCAACATGCTTAAAATAAACTATATAACATGATTACAAATGACAGACAAATAGCTTTTACTATCCAGGACCTCCGTTATATGTCAATTCCTTTTGCGGGTGCACATTTTATCTTGAAAATTCTGACATGTTTGCTTGGCTATGGCAGAAATAAACAACAAGACCACTTTATCAGCTTTAAGGAACCAGACAATTAAAGAGCTAACTTTTTTTTTTTTTAAATAAAAATAGAAAGTAGGGTGACTGATAAGAAAAGACAGATCTTGGAGACCCTGAAGTGGGAGATGAAATTCTATGGGGGGTTTGAGAATTTTGAGAGCCAGTCCAGAAAGTTAATTAGGTTGGATTTGCGGAATACCATAACCTTAGTGCTAACATTGTAGAGAAATACCATCTGTAGTATAAAAATAAGACCTCAAGGAATTGTGTGTAAATGGGTACTGGTGTAGTAACTGAGGATGGTAGGCAGTAGTTGCAGGGTACAAGGTGGACTGTAGTTCATGGAATGCTTATGTATTTCTCTCTGCCTGTGCTCACATTTTTATTTTCCTTTGCTCTTATTGGCAGTGATAAGTTATGCC